CCCCAAAACCCCAAAACCCCAAAACCCCAAAACCCCTTTCAGAACCAGTCTGGTTGAAGGTTAGGCCCAAGTTAAGCCAACGGCTTCCTACTTCTAAAATTCATGAGAATTATTAAATTCAGGTACATGGCCAACATTACGTTCATATAGAGCACGAGATCTAGGTTCAGACTTCTTGGGAATTTTATGGCTCCGAGAATTATACCTATAACGGTCAAGAAGATTCTCTTACCCTGCCATCCTTCATGAAGGAATTGGAGAGATTGTAGATCTCTTTGTTACTGGTGTGTAGTCAGCATTGTAGTCATAATTGTACTCGTTTGAAGCAAGAGGTTTGAAATTCTCATCTTGCCCTCTATCATAACTCTTTCCGCTAGTGATTATAGACTCAATTCTATTCATTCTTTCCATGAGGTTATGCTTCTGATGTTTCAAATTCTCCTGGAAGGTATAATTAGGCATCAAAGGAGCCACTTCAATCTGAGTATGAGCACTTTGAGGAACAACGCCCTCAGGGGCGTTGTTCTCTTTAATGTTTATTTTCAACTTGGAATTCTTCCTTTTGCTTTTTCTTTTTTTAGAATGATCCCTATTAAACTGTTTCTTACTACTGAATTGTTGATCATAGATTTTCATTTCATTAGTACCTCTAGAAGTTTTGATGTAGTTATTCCTAGTCTTTTTGGAACTCTTTTTTTCCCTACTTTTTACTTTTCTCTTAGAATCTTCAATATAAATTGGAGTTTCTCTAGATTGATCAGTTTCAAAAGATCCTAGATTATGATAGATTGGAATTACCCGTTGAAAATTGTGATTTTGTAAGCAAAAGCTTGTACTTATTTCTCCACACATCTCAGTTCGTTGATAATAGTCCTGAGACCATGAATTTTGCTCTTTAGGCAGATTATCTGATCATTATTATCAACCAGCAGCTTTTCTTTATTGGTCAGCTCATCTTTGAGCTTCTCTATTTCTGCATCCCTGGATTCACTAACGTATTTTATCTGAGAAATGCTGTTTGCTGAGACAGGATAATTACCTATTTGATCTGGAACGAATTTCTTTAGTCTTTCTATAAGTAAAATTAGCAAATCTCATAGTTTTAGAGGAAAGCATACTTTGTTAATTTCTTCTTCAGCATCGAAATATGTTTATTTATACTTTTCATGAATTTTATCAATCTCTTTAGCATGGGTAAGAAGCATTTCTTTCTTCTCTTGCTTGCGCTTGGAATCCATATCATCGAGTAGCTTCTCTGCATCTTTTATGTAAGCATAGAGACTTTCACATCTCTGAGTATATTGAGAAATTGTCTCAAGAAGATGTTTCTCATGCTTATTTTTCAAGGTCTTTTATCATCGATAAATACTTTTGTTCCGCATTCACAGGGTTATTTGCGATTTTTATTGATTCCATCATGGTATCGTATAGATTTTTCTGCATTTTAGTTTGGTCTCTAAGCTCATCTATTTGAAGTTTTTGAAGCTCCAGCTTTTGTTCGAGAATAGCGACTTCTTTTACTCGTTGATTCTCTTTATCTTTTACCTCTCTTTTTAATGCTTTGATGTCTGCTTGGAGTCGCTCATTATCTTTTTCTATAAAATAACAGATATTTCTAAAAATATCTAATTGCACAAACTCACCCAAACAATTTAAAAATAACAACAATAAACTCCCTCTTCTTACTCATAACCCCCTTTACCCAACTACCCTACCCTAAAACAGCATTCCAAACCCAAAAAACATGTCTATACCCCTCTATCTCCACTCCTAACCCTAATTTTGCCCTTTTCTTACTTCAATACTTCTCTAACCTATCTATCTCCATTCCTGAAAATATTTCAAAATTTTAAATTTATCAATTCTTCCAAATTTTAATGGGGTTTTGGGGTTTTGGGGTTTTGGGG